TCCAGGTCGTATGCGAAACCGAAGAAATGGCGTGCTGGTGTAGCGATATCACAGAAAATTTCCGTGAAGCGTAATTCTTTTATGGTTGAGGACGAGTTAACCAGTAGCATTTTACAAGTTAAAGTCAAAATAGTATCTTATAATATAAGGATAAATCAACGAAGCATCTTTTAAGATAAGTCAACGAAGAATCTTATAAGTATAAGTCAACGAAACACCTTATAAGTCAGCGAAGCATCTTATAAGTATAAGTCAATACAGCACCTTATAAGGATAAGTCATAAGAGCTTCTTATGATAAATAAAAACAGCAGACTTCCGTAAGGTATAAGGCACTATCTTGTAACACTATATGGCTTGAGGATTTTTAGACACGAGGATATCTGCGAGTCACAAAGGGGTAGGATACCTTTAAATTCGTCTCTACTGCATCCTTTCTAATATACTTTCGTTTACCTTTGATATCAATTTACCCATCGCTTATTTTTTTCTTATTCTCTCTCTATCTCTCTCTCTCTCTCTCTCTCTCTCTCTCTCTCTCTCTCTCTCTCTCTCTCTCTCTCTCCCTTTCTCTCTCTCTCTCCCTCCCTATCTCTCTCTCTCTCTCTCTCTCTCTCTCTTTTGGTTATCATCATCACGTCATCCCCTCTTCACTGTGATTCTCCTCGTTGTTTTATCTTACTTGCCTTAATTTCCTCTCATTTCCCTCTACTAATTAATCAACTTCCATCAACTTTCTCCCCTTCTTTCTCTCTTTTGCTCTTCTTTTCTCCGTCCACTGTTTCTCTCTCTCGTTCTACCTGTTCTTTCTCTCCCGTTTTCTTCGCACTTACTGTCTCTTTCGTTCCTTTTCTCTGTCTGTCTGACTGACTGTCTTTCCCTCTGCATGTCTCTGTCTCTCTGTCTCTCTCTCTCTATATATATATATATGTATATATGTATGTATGTATATATATGTATATATGTATGTATGTATATATATGTATATATGTATGTATGTATATATATGTATATATGTATGTATGTATATATATGTATATATGTATGTATGTATATATATGTATATATGTATGTATGTATATATATGTATATATGTATGTATGTATATATATGTATATATGTATGTATGTATATATATGTATATATGTATGTATGTATATATATTCTCTCTCTCTCTCTCTCTCTCCTCTCTCTCTCTCTCTCTCTCTCTCTCTCTCTCTCTCTCTCTCTCTCTCTCTCTCTCTCTCTCTCTCTCTCTCTCTCTCTCTCTCTCTCTCTCTCTCTCTCTCTCTCTTTTGGTTATCATCATCACGTCATCCCCTCTTCACTGTGATTCTCCTCGTTGTTTTATCTTACTTGCCTTAATTTCCTCTCATTTCCCCTCTACTAATTAATCAACTTCCATCAACTTTCTCCCCTTCTTTCTCTCTTTTGCTCTTCTTTTCTCCGTCCACTGTTTCTCTCTCTCTCGTTCTACCTGTTCTTTCTCTCCCGTTTTCTTCGCACTTACTGTCTCTTTCGTTCCTTTTCTCTGTCTGTCTGACTGACTGTCTTTCCCTCTGCATGTCTCTGTCTCTCTGTCTCTCTCTCTCTATTAGCGTTTCTGTTTGTCTTCCTCGCTCTCTTTTCCTTTCTTTCTCTCTTGCTCTTTCTCTGTCAGCCAAGCTAACTCTTTCTTTCCCTTTCTCTGTCTCTGACACTCTCCACCTGTATGTCTTTAACTCTCTCTCTAACTCGCGCTCTCTCTCTATCTCTCTCTCTCTCTCTCTCTCTCTCTCTCTCTCTCTCTCTCTCTCTCTCTATATATATATATATATATATATATGTATATATGTATGTATGTATATATATGTATATATATCTTTCTCTATCTATCTAATCTACCTCTCCCCCTTCCCTCCACTCTCTCTCTCTCCCTCTCTCTCTCTCTCTCTCTCTCTCTCTCTCTCTCTCTCTCTCTATATATATATATATATATATATATATATCATCTATCTATTTACCTCCCCCCCTCCCCCCTCTCTCTCAATAAACCCTTCCCTTCCCCTTCTCTTCCTCCCTCTTCTTTATCCACTCTTCCCCTCTCGCTGCTATGCTATTCATATAAATCGGGGAAATAAACGATAACGTATATATCAACATTCTTGCAAAGGTAATCATCTACATATATCAACATTCACACACACGCACATAAGAACTACATTTTTTGGGACGTTCATTGTGAGGTATGTATACATTTTCAATGCGTACATGGCAGAGTATATGATGGTATGTATGTATAAAAACAGCATTTGGGTGCCGACGAAAGAATAAAAGAATAAATTAGTAAATTAATTGATGGATGAATGAATGAAATAGGTAGATAAATTGATGAATAATTAAACCAATAGATGAATAGATAAATACGAGAAAAACATGTGTAAAAATTATAAACAAACATGACGAAAATACACTTTCTCTTCTATCTTCCCACACACATAAACACACATACGATCTTTCTC